GTATGTCCGTATAAGGCAAGATGAGGCACAGGCAGTCTTAAAGGGGCAGTAACATTCTTGAAGGTTTCCTTTGAATGAACCACAGAGAATTGCTGTAGGAAACAGGTGCAGAGCAGCCTTTGAAATACTGTGATTATAGTCTATATTGAATAGGCAACATAAACATGTTGCAATAATTATTAATGCATAACATAAATGCAAACACTTTACATTTTGAATTGCAATGAATGTGCTGCTTCAAGGCCAAGAAAGGGTTTTGGGTTTTTACCTAAACACTCATCGAGTCGTTGCTCCTCCACATTGACACAATAAATTAAAGTGTCTGTGAAGGCTGTGACTCCTATTAATAGGCCTGGTGACAGAAAACAGCTGCTGCACCAAACACCGCACATCCAACTGACAGCGTAATGATAAGGGAAATGAGAGAAAGAGAGAGAGAGGAAAAGAGAGAAAGGGAATATGAGATGCTTGTGAAATGACTGGAGAACTGAGAGGTCTTGAAGAGAAGAGAGGGTCTGATAAGGGCCACGTAAACTGCGAGAGTGACAACCGCGTTTAAATGCAGGAATGAATCCCTAAATTATCGTTCTCTGAGGCTACATTCACAGAACCAGTGTTTGGGATTGACAACAGTGTTGAATTGTCCTGTTCACACAATAGGAGAGGGTTGAATAATGTCTATATGAACAAATATGGACTAAAGTCCCCTAGATTGCCTTAATTAATGCCTATAATAACGTCAGATAAGGCTGCATGATTAATTAAAACGAAATGGATTATCAAATTGCAAAGGGTTCGATTTCATTAAATATATGCGCTTCATGTTTCAGAGTGAAGTGCGGCACTGTCTTCATTTACACGTGAGCAGCTTGTGATCTGGTGTTTTTAGCGTCTCAGAGCAGCTCGGCTTACAGTAAATAATAATTATTACAGTAAATAGTAATAAAATAATAACAATAATTTAACAATCATCAACTCATCTCCGCAATTGCTTAACACACATTTGGGAACGTGATATGCACCAACAATCTTCCCAAACTTGTAATGAGTAACACTTAAAAACCTGTTGTCAATAAAAGAAAAGAGTTAAGGGCTCCCTGAGGTTTTACACCAAAATGAAAGTTTAATAGTTTAATGATTGAAAATGAAGATGATAAAGATATTGGTAGGCTACTGAAATTGTACAGTTGTACTGTAAAATAAAATTATTTTTGATACTATAAATTATTATTACTATATGATTAAAATTATTATATTACAGTTAGCAATTTCATGGTGTTTAATATTTGTACTTAGTAAAAATAATTATTAGAATTATTATTAGTATCATTATTATTAATATATAAATTTTATTGTTGTTGTTGTTGTTGTTGTTAGTAGTAGTTGTATTATATTAACATATATCAAATAAATACAAAGAAGTGCAGTTTTTTAAATCATAGTTTATATTTTAAAAATGTATCAGAAAAATCACAATTTTGTTTTTATCCCCCAAAATCATGCAGTCCTATTGACAATGACCAAAGTAAATAAAGATGGTGATAAGAAAGATAGTAAAGAAGGTCAATTAATTAAAAAAAACGACAGAGCAATTAATTACTTTGACAAATTTAACTTAAAGGGTTACTCCACCCCAAAATGAAAATTTTGTAATTAATCACTTACCTCCATGTCGTTCCAAACCCGTAAAAAGCTTTGTTCGTCTTCGGAACACAATTTAAGATATTAAAATGGTGCTACAGTGAAGCAGAGAGACACAGTCAGAGGAGACGAATTGTTGAATAAAGTCGTTATTTTTGTTTTCTTCGCGTACAAAAAGTATTCTCGTCGCTTCATAACGTTACGGTTGAACCACTGATGGCAGATGGACTATTTTGACAATGTCATTCATAGTTTTCTGTACCTTGACAGTGTAATTTACTTGGCAGTCAATGGGACAGTCACAAGCCTCCCGGTTTTCATCCAAAATATCTTAAATTGTGTTCCAAAGACGAACAAAGCTTTTAGTTTTCTTCGCGTACAAAAAGTATTCTCGTCGCTTCATAACGTTACGGTTGAACCACTGATGGCAGATGGACTATTTTGACAATGTCTTTCATACTTTTCTGGACCTTGACAGTGTAATTTACTAGGCAGTCAATGGGACAGCCACAAGCCTCCCGGTTTTCATCCAAAATATCTTTAATCGTGTTCCGAAGACGAACGAAGCTTTTATGGGTTTGGAACGACATGGGGGTAAGTGATTAATGACAAAATTTTCATTTTGGGGTGGAGTAACCCTTTAACCGACAGTAAATTTGAATTTGTTTTGTTTTGTTTTGTTTAGAGTGTGCAGAGTGCAGAGTGTGGTTTCCAATTTCGTTTAACCGAACTGTGTGTGAACTATTTTTAGTGCTCTGATGTGTCTTTAAATACGTAATCATCAACTCGTTGTGCAGTTCGGATCTCACTACTTTGTTTAAAGTGAATTTGGTCGTAGACTGTGGTTGTCACTCGCCTAGATGAGCTATATGTGTACAAAACAGGATTAAACTCTCAGAACAGGAGTGACATCCGTATTTAGCTGCAGTGTGTACGTGGTGAGATGTTGTAGGTGTTGAGAAGAGGGATGAGTAAAAGAATCGTGCACAAGCCTGGAGAGCAGGATAAACAGAAAAGAGCAAAAGTAAAATGAAGTAAAGAAAGAATGCAACCATGAGAAAGATATGACTAGACTGAATGAGAAAGCCTGATCATAGAGAGGGTTCTGAATGCAGAGAGAGATTCCTTTGTGCTGCCAAATACATATTTTGCATTGTTAATTCTACATCGTCTCACATTCATCCATCTCGAGCGTCGCATAAACACCCTGTCAGATGCAACACATGCAATTTTGCCATGTTATGTGACTGAACGCATATGAGAGATGCAGAAAGATGCAACAGAGACAGGAAAACAGCGACAGAGAGAGCAGGAGCGAGAGAGGCAGCCAGTCTATAGGGATGCAAGTAGGGGGAGGAATTTGGTTTCCATGGCAACATGCGGAAGGCTGAGCTCTAGGTGTCTGTTCCAGCTCTAACTGCGTTGCACTGCACCGGCCCTTGCCTCGCCTCGCTCCCCCCATCCTCCCCCACTCTCATTCCCTCTGCAGCTCTCTCTTCATCCCTCCCTTCCACCTCATACCCCTCCTAATGTGTGGAAGACACGACACCACATTCAGCTCAGCATCAGCCAGCCCTGCTGTCAACAGAACGCTGCTGCCTTGTGCTTTGATGTAGACAATGGAGGCTCTCTGTTCTCAAGGCGGCGGTCCCTCGCTCTTCAGCCACGACCCGAGACCACACCCACACTGCCATCTCCACCTCACGCCCCCCGTCCCTCACGCTAGATCACCGCTCATATGAAACGCCAGCACCCGCAGGCAATGTGCCGCCACATGCTGCTGGAGGTGCTGTGATTGGGAGGACGTGAAAATGAGATCTGCCATGATATAGTAGGACCTGAGTGTTGTGCCTTCGCTCAAGAGTATTTCTGAAAGACTGGGTGATTAATAGAATCATCGTGGCTTATTTCTTCCCGTTTCAGATACACTGCAGCCTAGCTACTATCTACATATGTGAACAAACAAATGCACTGCAAGCATCCATATGTATGCATTAATATGAATATGTGTTATGGAAAACATCTCTAAATCAGCTTGTGGTCAAAAATTAACCACTGGAAATGTGCTTTATGATTACATCATAATCATATGTATAAAATTTCATGACCTAGAGCCCAACAATAAGAATTTATGCTAAGTTTCTATTTACCGTCCTGATATTTTAACTGCCCCAGAATGTTTTTAAACAAAGCTTTAATATGTTCAAAGGAATTCTGTTTTATATTTTTCATTAAAGATTTGCTTTACAAAAAAAAAAAAAAGTTTTTTCATTTACAATACTTATGGAAATTATGATGCTATTATTTAATTCAGTGTCTGCTATAAATTCAAACTCTGGAAAAGGATGCCATACAGTCATCTGTTTATAATTTTCCAACCCATTCTAGCTGATGTAAAACCTCAACTTTTATTCAGCAAAATTCACCACTGCAATGTTCAGCATATCACACAAAACTACATTTTAAAGTTTTCTAGGCATAAAAACACATATGCATGATCAAAGAACCTATATACTGGCAGGTCGTACACACAAAATGTGTTTTTGCATTCCACTGCATTAGTTTTTCATAGATTTTCCATGTATTTATGCGCTAGATGGACATGCTTGTCATTTAAGGCATTTTGCATATGATATGGCACTCTACAAACTTTTAACTAGACCTTTTTTCTTTCCATTCTGCCCTGCGTCCCACGTTTTTAAACACAATAACTAGTTCTGTGTGAACAGCCCATAAGGGAAAGGCCTAGCATGCACTTTTACGAGCTGTGCTTCAGATATAACCAAAATATCAACAACTGTTTTGATATAGATTTTTTGTGCTGTTTATAACACTGAAACGTATTTCTTCAGACAGCATCTAACAGACAGCATCTAAAAATGCAGTATAAACACAAAAGGCTGAAAACCGCACTGATCCTAGGCAAAAGTGCATTTTGCACGCGCGCGATCTGAGTTTGTGGAGAAAATGTTCGTTTCGCAAAGAAAAAAGTCTTTCGAGCGCACGGAAATCAATTTTGCATTTAAAATACATTTTTGGATGTGTGCAGACCTTCTCTTTTGCCCGTGCAACGTTTCACTAGCTTGCTCACCTGATGCCCCCCCTCTGTGCTCGCTAAATGACAACAGCTCGCGTGCTCAAGACAACCCAGCGTTACAATGTGCCATAATTCCAGCCAATCAGAGACCGAGGCTGCTAAATTCTGATTGAGATGAAGTAGACATTCTACGTCACACAGTAACAAGTCCCCATGCCAGGAAAGATCTCATGACACATTTAAAAGCACAATTTTTAAGGTGTTATATGTTCAAAATTCTTTATTTTTTGAAAGAAAAATAAAGTTTTTAGCAGCCACTGACCTTTGGTGTCTCTATATGAGAGCGGCTTACCAGTCCAGCCACTCTCTCCAACTTCTGTGAGCTCCTCCTGCTGGTCACTCGCACCCGTGACACACCCTCCTCACCCGAGGTCTGCAAGTACAAATCATACAGATCAGAACATAACTAGAAGTAAAATAAAAATAACTAAAAAATAAAAATACAAGTAAAAATGTAATTGATGTAACCAATATTCAGTATTCAGTGTATTCAATATGAGGTATTCAACGTAGTCCAAGCTAGTGGTTAGAGTGCTGAATACATAGCAAAAACCATCATAAAATCATAACTAACTCTATGAAAAATGTAAATGCTGTGATCCGATTTATATATATATTTTTTAAATGTATTTTTACATATATAAAATAAATCTAGTAAAATAAACTAAAGTGGAGCCGTATTTTTACAAAATTGTTTATGTGGAGTTCCACAGGAAAATAATTTTCACTATGAACAACTGAACAACCGCTCCTGGGCTGTGGAATATTCCAGCATGGGCACTAAGAGTTACTTGTTATGTGACCGGAAAGTATCACAGAGAGACAAATAGTACCATTTGCAAGATGGTTTGGATGGACAGACATCTGTATTATAATAAAAGAGAAAACAAGTGCCAGCAAACATACACACACATTAAAACACAATCCACAACTATAACATCTTTCGAAATCTGACATAATTTTCATATATAGCATTTTAGTCCAAAATATTCACAACCAAGGCTTGATTAGGTTAGTTCCTACCTGTTTATCATAATGTATCACGCACTCACAGGCCACAGGCAGCAGAGGGCAGCCTTTGGAAAAGGCCATGACAGCAGAAGGAACAAAGGCTCTCTCACTTTCCCTTCCCAAATGCTAATAAACTCAACTCTAGAATGTTCTTTTAGAATTTGTCCCATTCTGATACTCTCATAACAGTGTGTGTTCATATAAACAAACACACAGAGGCATGAAGGGTTGCAGCAGTAGGCCAAGCCACACCCATTTAAGTTGATGCAAAAAAAAAGGCACAAATAAAATCACATCTACAATCACAAAAAAACTACCTTAAGGCAACATTTAACAAAACACAAATGCAAAATTTACCGTTTTTATCATTGCCTTCATTGGACCACCATGAAATGATTGGGAAAATAGTTGCTGCCAAGCCCCAGGTTTGCCGTCATATTATCACCGGCTCAGCTACGAGATGGACACTGCAGCCGAGAACATGCAGGATTGCTGCAGTCTCAAACCCAGAGAGGAACATGGAGGCGCTGCTGGTGTCCAGTGCCATTGAATCACTGCTGACACATGACATACTGCTCGCTATATATACTGAGGCTGGATTATGTACTGCTTGATACATTTAAATAAACATTTTTAACCAACATTCCCAGATATAAAACAGATACCAAATTACGTAACACTATTATATTACAGACTGTAACTGTAGCTAATATAAAACACAAAAGGAAGACCCACTGCCCCTTGCTGTTTAACACAAAGGCTTTATAATGATTGTGCTGTAAATTATTCCAGCGTCTTTTTTTTCTTCCTTCTGCACCAAATCGGGGAATTTGCAGACTCATTTCATTTAAAGTCTCTCAGGTGACCGCACGCTATGAATGCTAATGAAGCCTGAGCTGGACATTCACTCAGATCCAGCCTCGCTCGCTCTCAGAGAACCACAGAACAGGGCTGTGCCTGGACACAGACTCAGACTGAGGCCTGTGACTGTCTCCACCACACATCACATAGTGACCCCTGCAGTATTTTTGCGGAACATGTGTCACAATAAGATGATGCTTCTGGAAACTGCCAGTTGGGGATTTGAAATAAGGACGATTATGTTCACAGAGACTGTCCAAATGTCCGCTCTTCATTTGTTTCATTAATGTGTTTAGCTTCAATCAAAACTGCATAAATATCAATCATTGCTGGGTTTTTACCTGAACATCTACCACAACCATTTTACCTGTCCACATACGTACATGTTTTTGAATACTGCACTGTAATAAATGAAAAAAACATACAATTTAAACTATATATTTTAATAACTATTAACAACTATTTAATAACTCAAATGCATGTATTACTTAATCAAAAGTCTAGTTTTTCCATAAAATCATAAAATTCTTTAAACAATGTGGATAACCTACTTACATCACTATCATCTGTATTAACTAATCCATCCAGTGCAATCTTGTGATTACTGACATCTTTTTGGCACATTCTAGTTCAGACTAAGTTCATGGGTCTTAAAAACACATTGCATTACATGATTGTTGTGCAGTGTTTTCAGGTATTACAAGTTATAAAGCTATATTTTGGATGTATTGGTAAGAATTTTACCCTGATATTCTAGCCTGATTTTCTATGAACACTCACTAAAACCCATCAGCTTATAAGAAGCTATAGGAAATTGCTTTATTCCTTGTTGAAAACAGTTTAAACAAGCATTCTTGATTTTCCGGTGTAGTAAGAGTTGGAGTGAATTGAGTTTGCAAAGCTGTTTGCAACAAAAAACAAAACAAAACAAAACAATTTACATTTATTCATTTCGCAGATGCTTTTATCCAAAGCAACTTACAATTGGGGAATACATCAAGCGATTCATCTTAAAGAGGCAAATAGACACGGGAAGTGCTCGTCATACCAAGTTTCAAGCATTGTTCAAATAAGTACAAGCTAGGCAGAGAAAGGATGGCGTTTTTTTTGGATGAAGTCAGATAGTGACGAAAGAGGTGAGAGATTTAATAATTCCACAGAATTTCCCCCAGAATCCCCCTGATTTTGGATTGTCTGAAACCATTGAGATGATGGCAAACTTCATTCTATAATCTTTTAAAAACATCAGTCACAGGGTGCTCCTTTACTGGACGAACAGACACTATTTTAGTCAAACCCGATTGTATGTTTGTGTGAACCCTCAGAGAGACCACAGAGTGATCCTCCCTCACTGCAGTTGCTTTTAACAGAATCCAGACAGAAGTTGAGGTTATTTTCTGTACTCTCCCTATAAATACTTTGCATAGTCACATGATTGCAGACACTTGTAACGAAAGGTCCTGGGGACATCATCACACAGTCCACCGAGGAGCACTTGGTGTTACCACTGCAGTGCTTTCTAGATATGACTAATGTTCTGTAGTGTCTGTAACTTCCACATGCTCTCTCTTTCATTCTTTCCCTATTTTTTCTATTTTTGTCCAGCACTCCTCTGTAAACTTCCCTCTCCTTTGTTGTTTCTAAACCTTTGTCTGTGCTAATCGCTGTTATTGGTGACAAAGAAAAGTACTAGGGACAGATATAAATGCACTACAAAAGTATCATAAAATATGGTCAATAGGATTCATCTACATTTCTGAAACCATATGACAGCTTTGTGCGAATAACAGGTCAAATTATTCACTGGAGATTCACAAGATATTCACAAGATATTCACTGATAATCTTCCTATTTGTGAGCTGTTAACTGCTTCACCTGTCAGTGAGCTAAACTTGAGAACCAGATCAGTCAGATTCATGAAGGATAACAAAGATATAAGGGTTTGGAAAACATAAGGGTGAGTAAAATATAGCTGCCCTTTCTCTAGAGCTCTTACCTCCCATGTGTCCACAGAGATGCGGTCTTTAACTCCATTTTGCGCTGCATTCATTTGCAGAGTAACCTCGTAGCATTCCTGAATATCTGAGAATAACGGAATAGTGATGTCATTGAGGGAATCTATTTAAATAATGCAGGTATTTATGCTGAAATATGTAATACCTCTGTTGCATTTTTAGATTAATAACAAAGCAAAAATATATAAAATAATAAATGTATAGTATAAATGAGGCTGGCATTCCAGCATTTATGCTACCAAGAGAGAAAAAAAAGGATTATTTCACCCAAAAAATAAATTTCCCATTTACAATTGTCATTTACTCACCTTTAAGTTGTTACAACCCTGTATGCCTTACTTTATTGAGTGAAACATTTGAAGGAGAATTTTATCAGAATATCTGAATTTCTCTCTTTCATACAATGAATGTGGATGGGAACCAAGAACTCCCAAAAGGACCAAAAACATTATAAATCATCATAAAAGTATCATAAAAGTACTTCATGCTTGTGTGCTATATTTTAAGTCTTATGAAGATATAAAATAGATTTGTTTGAATTGAAAAACACAGTTGTTATTCACTGAAATCTTGCTTTAAACATTTGTTTAACATCCTTGGACACCATTTGCCTTCTATGGCAAAGAGCAGCTTGAACATACTATAAATTTCTCATTTTGTGCTTCACAGAAGAACTTCAGTCAGGCTTCTGAGAAATATGTATTTAGCCCCTAAAGGGATGCAAAGATTGTTAAAAAAAAACAAAAAACAAAAAAAATGGGAGGACTTTTCATTCAATTAACAAAACATTTGTAGTGGAATTAATCTGAGGTAAGAGGAATAAATATATATTTCAATACTTTGGGATTTTCTTGCAAAACTTCTCCACTTCCATGAGGAACCTTGCATTCTTGAGCAAAACATTTGCGTTCCCCAAGAAACTTTACAAGCAAATGTTTTGCGAGCGAACACAAAAGCATTGAAATACAATTTTTCTATCAACATGTCCCCTTAGAGGTTCCATAGACATGAGCGTGAGTAAATTATGCCAGAATGTTCATTTCTGTGAACATTTCATGAGCCCCATCAATAGATTAGTAAGTCTGTTAGCCATGCCAAAAAGCACAGGTGCACAGTGAGCAAGGTCAAGACCAATGTCAACTTTTGGCTCAACTTGAGCATCGTTCCTACTATTGTGGGTTTCTATAAATATCATCCAGCGGCCTCATCCAAAATTCCTGTCCATACTGGGTTTAGAGAGCCGGAGATCTTAAAGAGGCAAATAGACACGGGAAGTGCTCGTCATACCAAGTTTCAAGCATTGTTCAAATAAGTACAAGCTAGGCAGAGAAAGGATGGCGTTTTTTTTGGATGAAGTCAGATAGTGACGAAAGAGGTGAGAGATTTAATAATTCCACAGAATTTCCCCCAGAATCCCCCTGATTTTGGATTGTCTGAAACCATTGAGATGATGGCAAACTTCATTCTATAATCTTTTATAAACATCAGTCACAGGGTGCTCCTTTACTGGACGAACAGACACTATTTTAGTCAAACCCGATTGTATGTTTGTGTGAACCCTCAGAGAGACCACAGAGTGATCCTCCCTCACTGCAGTTGCTTTTAACAGAATCCAGACAGAAGTTGAGGTTATTTTCTGTACTCTCCCTATAAATACTTTGCATAGTCACATGATTGCAGACACTTGTAACGAAAGGTCCTGGGGACATCATCACACAGTCCACCGAGGAGCACTTGGTGTTACCACTGCAGTGCTTTCTAGATATGACTAATGTTCTGTAGTGTCTGTAACTTCCACATGCTCTCTCTTTCATTCTTTCCCTATTTTTTCTATTTTTGTCCAGCACTCCTCTGTAAACTTCCCTCTCCTTTGTTGTTTCTAAACCTTTGTCTGTGCTAATCGCTGTTATTGGTGACAAAGAAAAGTACTAGGGACAGATATAAATGCACTACAAAAGTATCATAAAATATGGTCAATAGGATTCATCTACATTTCTGAAACCATATGACAGCTTTGTGCGAATAACAGGTCAAATTATTCACTGGAGATTCACAAGATATTCACAAGATATTCACTGATAATCTTCCTATTTGTGAGCTGTTAACTGCTTCACCTGTCAGTGAGCTAAACTTGAGAACCAGATCAGTCAGATTCATGAAGGATAACAAAGATATAAGGGTTTGGAAAACATAAGGGTGAGTAAAATATAGCTGCCCTTTCTCTAGAGCTCTTACCTCCCATGTGTCCACAGAGATGCGGTCTTTAACTCCATTTTGCGCTGCATTCATTTGCAGAGTAACCTCGTAGCATTCCTGAATATCTGAGAATAACGGAATAGTGATGTCATTGAGGGAATCTATTTAAATAATGCAGGTATTTATGCTGAAATATGTAATACCTCTGTTGCATTTTTAGATTAATAACAAAGCAAAAATATATAAAATAATAAATGTATAGTATAAATGAGGCTGGCATTCCAGCATTTATGCTACCAAGAGAGAAAAAAAAGGATTATTTCACCCAAAAAATAAATTTCCCATTTACAATTGTCATTTACTCACCTTTAAGTTGTTACAACCCTGTATGCCTTACTTTATTGAGTGAAACATTTGAAGGAGAATTTTATCAGAATATCTGAATTTCTCTCTTTCATACAATGAATGTGGATGGGAACCAAGAACTCCCAAAAGGACCAAAAACATTATAAATCATCATAAAAGTATCATAAAAGTACTTCATGCTTGTGTGCTATATTTTAAGTCTTATGAAGATATAAAATAGATTTGTTTGAATTGAAAAACACAGTTGTTATTCACTGAAATCTTGCTTTAAACATTTGTTTAACATCCTTGGACACCATTTGCCTTCTATGGCAAAGAGCAGCTTGAACATACTATAAATTTCTCATTTTGTGCTTCACAGAAGAACTTCAGTCAGGCTTCTGAGAAATATGTATTTAGCCCCTAAAGGGATGCAAAGATTGTTAAAAAAAAACAAAAAACAAAAAAAATGGGAGGACTTTTCATTCAATTAACAAAACATTTGTAGTGGAATTAATCTGAGGTAAGAGGAATAAATATATATTTCAATACTTTGGGATTTTCTTGCAAAACTTCTCCACTTCCATGAGGAACCTTGCATTCTTGAGCAAAACATTTGCGTTCCCCAAGAAACTTTACAAGCAAATGTTTTGCGAGCGAACACAAAAGCATTGAAATACAATTTTTCTATCAACATGTCCCCTTAGAGGTTCCATAGACATGAGCGTGAGTAAATTATGCCAGAATGTTCATTTCTGTGAACATTTCATGAGCCCCATCAATAGATTAGTAAGTCTGTTAGCCATGCCAAAAAGCACAGGTGCACAGTGAGCAAGGTCAAGACCAATGTCAACTTTTGGCTCAACTTGAGCATCGTTCCTACTATTGTGGGTTTCTATAAATATCATCCAGCGGCCTCATCCAAAATTCCTGTCCATACTGGGTTTAGAGAGCCGGAGCAATCACATTCACTTAGAGACGCTTTTAACGTGACTCACTCGTGACAGCGCAGAGCCTGCAGACATTAGCAGAGGTAACAGTGGCTCTGGTGTTGAGGGTCAAGCACAAAGCTGTGAGCTGTTCACACTTGTGCAAATTGGGACAATTGGAATAGCATGTTAAAATCATCAGTGCACACTAGAGCAGAGCTGTAGGATTATAAGTATTCACATAAAATCAGTACATGAGAAACCTGCTTGGACCACTGGAATCAAACAAGGGGTGTTGCAGGGGTAATTGCAGCAAATTGTTGAGCTTTTCTGAAGTTACAAGCATTTGGACAAAAAATATATATATATATATATATATATACAGTGGGTACTGAAAGTATTCAGACCCCCTTAAATTTTTCACTCTTTGTTATATTGCAGCCATTTGCT